TTTTTGTGGGGGGGGGATTTCCAAGCTGCAAGGAACCCAGCCACGTGGGGGTCCTAACACACCGCTCTGTAGCGCCAAGGTTTGAGTGCTATTTCCAGTGATGTCATGTCCACATTACGGAAATGGCGCTTGACAAGACTGGTAGCTGGGCCACCGGGAATGGATCATGAGGGAGGGCCGCGCAGTGCATTTGTTTGAAGGCGCAGGGGCGAAGCCAGCTGGGGCCACATGCTTTTTGCATGTCTGGGTCCAAGTGTGTGACTTGGAATGAGACGAGTGGTGCAAGATGTATTTCTGTAAATGAATGTGAGTTTGCAGAAGCAAGTCTCTGTGTTAATTAACTAGTTCATGAACTAACTGATTAATTAAGTGAACAAATAATCAAATTACTTGATGAATCAGTTGATTTATTCATGTGTTCATTTGTTTACCCAACTGCTTAGTGTGTTCTTTGGATAGTCAATTCATGGAGTTTGTGAATAAAGTAAGTAGCTGATTCACTATTTCAACAATTAATCTATGTGTTTCTTTACTGCTATCATGCATTTCATTTATTTCATGTATTTGTATGTATGCATGTATGTGTGTGTGTGTTGTTGCTTGCTTGCTTGCTTGCTTGCTTGCTTGCTTGCTTGCTTGCTTGCTTGCTTGCTTGCTTGCTTGTTTGTTTGTTTGTTTGTTTGTTTGTTTGTGTTGGTTTGCATTTGTTTGTTGTATTTTTTTTATTTACTTTTGACGGAACATGCACAAACATTTGTTCGCCCCTGGACTGAAGTGGTCAGCACTGCCTTGCCTTTGTGTGCAGAGGCTGCTGGGCACAAGGACCTGGCTGCAACGGCTGGGGGTGCGGAGCGGGGTCTTAGGGGAGCTGTCCGAGAGCCCTGCTGTTGTCTCCGTTCCCATCTCCCCCGTTCTTTTCTCAATGCCGGCAGGGTGGGTGGGTACTCCTTGGGCCAGTTTGCAGATCGCCGCTTTGGCATACTGTTGCATGGCTGTTGCCAATGGGGGCTGCGTTTTGCAGCCCGGGGCTTTGCGTTTGAATACACATCCGGGCGCCCGGATCAGATCAAAGGCATCTCACTTTTGATCAGAGCCGAGCTGAAAGAGACTGGGCTTCGACCCTCGCTCATGAAGCTGTTCTCCTTGCCGTGGAGTCAAGATATTCGTTTTGGGGCTGCCACTTGTTGGGCCCCAGCTGCTTTGCTCATTTGCAGGGAACCCGAGATATGGAAGAATCCCTCGCCAAACATCGAAGCCCCAAAGATGACGGCATAGTCCCAAGTTGAAAAGGTCTCGCAAGCCGTTGAATCGGTCAACCATGGGCAACGACCTCATTTAGATGCCACGCAAACAGTGATCAATACATGGGTTCCCCCGGGATCAGCCCTTTGATGACATGTTGTTCTTTGCCGTTGACTCAAATGATGGCAAAGTCTTAAACCATACGCAGGTTCATGGTTTGTCCACGCTGACCAAGATCCCTCCGCTGGATATTGACGTCACCCGGTCATTCTTGCCACACTTCGGTTGCCTGCGCGCGCTTCGGTTGCCTGCGTGCGCTTGTGGCGTTAGAGCTGCCGGTAGCCATTTGAGGCTCCGGGTTTGCTAAGCAAAGGAAACCACCTGGTTGCACCATTTGGCCGCTCAGCTGCAGATACTTTCTGGTTGAATGTCGGGGGGCGCTCAGGAGCCGGCAAAGAGAAACACATGCCGGCCCTCAAGATTACCTTAGGCAGAAAGCCTTGGCCCGAATTTTGGACGGCACCCTGTGCGGGGTTGGTTCGTTGGACGCCAAAGGGAAAAAAGGACCATTCTTAGCGAAATCCTCTCACTTCAGGCGAGCCAAGCTGAAGAGAAAAAAGCCTGCGCTGCTGGGCTTCTGCCCTTGAGGCAACATGAGGCAACCCAGCCTCAGTGGTTTCCGATATGGATTTGGATTGGCCAACCCCCTGAATTTGCTGGGCGGGTCTTGTTTGGCTTGGTTTTCTCTTGGAAGAATCCACTCAGGAAGTGAGATGATGGGCAGATACAGTCTACTCCCTGGATCTGAGTTTGAACCACAGGGGCTTCAGAACCGTTCCGCTGCCTTTCCAAGACCCTTTTCCACTCGGGTTGGTTGGCCCAAATACAGTGCAATAGCAGACCCCGTCCCCTTCAAAGCCAGGAGGCTGTTTCGAACTTCATGTTTGAAGGGCCACTCAAGTCGGAAGCCCGGCCGGCGCTCCTTGGAAAAGCCATAGTTTGCTTGTTGGAAAGCCAACTAACTTAGGTTTTTGCTGGTGAACGAACTTATGGCAGACGATGTGAACTTAATTTGCCAGCCCTGCCACTGATTTACCTGTCCAGCCGCAAGGTCAAGCGCACAAACTTCCAAGCAGCCTTACAGCGCCGTTTGCGGAAGCCCCTCTTCGTGCGGCTTCAGGGCAAGCATTGGAAGGCTGACCACCTTCAAGTGTTCCATATGTTCAGAACTCCTACTGTCTAAAAGATTAGCCACTTTCCCCTCGAGCACTTATCCCGGTCTGTTTAATTATATTTGCGTATTTCTTTGTCTAGATATGTATGCGCATGTCGCTTCCTTGTGTGACTTTTGACTTATTCATCTTGGTGGCTAGCCATGCCCTTGGCCTTTTAGCTTTTTAGCGTTCCAATCAAAACGCGAAAAGTGAGACTCTTTTTTTCCGGGGGATCTGAGGACAGCCCATGTAGACCTTCAATTTGTGGAAGGGAGCCTGGCGAGATGGCCCCAAGAGCCACGGTGCCATCGCCCAGGATATGGCATTTTGCTAGTCGGGCACGCCGACAGCGTAGGCGCGCTGCGCCGGCGTCCCAGTCCCAGGGATTCCCAGGCTTCTTCTTTGCGAGTTTTTGACCATCACTTCTTGGAGAGGTCAACTTTGGGTTTCTTTTGGGGTAATGCCGAAAAGGGGTGAGGAAGAAAACAATCCGGGCTTTTTGAAAGAAGCAGGTTCTTCCGGGATCAGGTTCTAGGTGTAATTCTGGGAAAGTACCCCCAATCAAATCACCATGGGCCCCCAAAAAGGGTAACCTGCAGGGGTATGTTGTCCTTTAGGATAGATCTGGAAGAAAGCGAGGGAATGCCTCCAAAGTCTGAGCAGCCGAACTCGGGCTAAACCGAGCGAATGATTTGTAGGTCCGCGATCCCTTGCTTCAGGTATAACGTCATCGCAGACTTGCGCAAGATGCCTCAAGATGATGGTCCGTCTTAAAGCCTTGTTTTCCAGAAAACCCTCCCTCTTGGACAGAGGCTTCCAGAGAAGTTTCTCCGAAGCTTTCTTCAAATTCCTCTCATTTTCTTTTGAAGTTGGTGGCCACAGAACGGCCATCGATGGGCAAGGGCTTCGGATCCTTGCATTTATGGATAGACTGCCAATGTGTATCAATAAGTCCTACCCCCGGGGAAAACGGATCTGAAGAAGTTCACAGGAACCTGGCCCCTACAGCACTGAGCTGGGAGGCCCATCAAGCATCCTACAACTCAGAGCTGGCGAAGCCGGCTTCCATGAAAGAGGTAGCTAGAGACGCCTGGAGGAGGCTGTAAATGAAATCCTCGCCCGTGGACTTCAACTCATTAGCAATGGAAGGTTTGTGTGGACAGCCCTGGAAACTTGGGTCAGGTAACCCCCTCAGCGGTATGGTGGACGGACAAAATCCTGCACCAGCTGGTAGGCGGTTTATCCATCCCAAGTGGTGCAGGAGTTTGCTTTGAACCCCTGGAATTTGCAGAGGGCAAAGGAAAACCACCCTCGTAGCACTCCCTGTCCATGGGTCCAAATTACCAATGAGAGGGAAGCGTGCAGTTCAGATGCCAGTCGGCCAAAATTATGTCGAACTTAGCTTACTCGAGAGGGTATGCGACCTCCAGATTGAGGGTTCCCTTGTGTTTGGCTGGCGGGCTGTTATGAAATTGGGTCAGAAGTCAACGTTTCAACTTTGGGGAATACCAAGCTGGAGGAACTTCAGCATCGATGTCCAGTTTTGCCTCAGAGCTTCCGGCCTATGGGCCCCCAGCGGTCTGTGGCCAGGTAGAGAGGACCTGCCACGGCAGGGGCACGTCCGTGGCCCAGAACCCCGGGGCTGAAGAGCCAAAAGGGCGGTGAGCCAATCGAAGGGCGACGCGAGACGCGAGACGGGGTCACCTCTTTTTGAAGTGGGGCTGGTGGCTCAACATCGGGAGCCCCAAAAGCCAAAAGCCAAGCGAAACCCTTCATTGAGACTTGTCCGTTTTTTGTTTTTTTTTTTGGGGGGGGGGGAGTTGAACCAGCATAGCATAAGTATGTTTTCTAGTGTATGCCGCTTCGAGCTGTAGGCTTCGGCTGAATTGGTGACCCTCTGGCTTTTTGTTTGCAGACGGCTTAGCACCGCTGAACTCGCTGCCAAGATGCCCAGATGTTGTGATGGATGTGGGAACTTCTGTGTTCGGTTCAGGCAGCTTGCGATTTTCTGACCGCCACGGTCAGCTCTGAAGCGTCAGTTTGGGTCATCCCCTGCAGCTGTGTTGAAGGATGTGGTTGTCCTGGCCTGCCTCTCGGCGCCAGAACATCACGAGACAGCCCCGATGCGGCCATATCCGAACAGGTACTGCAGAGTGGCAGCTGATCCGGAGAATTGAAGCAGACCTTGTTACATCTTTTGGCGATTCCCAGGGTGGGGAAGCCACTTCTCTCAAATGGGACACTTGTGAAGATCCGTTTGGGCGTGCCTTTTTTAGGGGACCCCCCACCCCCCAAACACGGTGGCTTTGTGTTTGGTTTCCCTGAATCATTTTCTTGTTTGTTTATCGAGCTCGGCTGGGGGTAAAGCAAGCCCATGATGCAGGCCCTTTACTCGGGGACCCTTGTTTCTGGTTTGGGAGTTCTTGTGGAAGAGTTTTGGAAGATGACCATGCTTTTGGCAAGGCCCCTTGTCGTTGGTGTCATCGGCTTTTTCTGTGCGGGTCGTTGAGGGAGACGTTTGATGTGAGCCCGCTTTGCTCAGGCATGGCACACTTCTTTGCAATGGAGGCACGAAAAGAGGAGGCGCGGCCAGGTGGGGGAGGTGGGAGTTTTGTTGGGATTTTAGTTGCCAGGCAGTTTTCATCCTGGGCTGGGGCTCTATCCATCCCAACCGGTGCAGGATTTCATCCATCTAGAATCGCCCCTGTCCAGCGATCATGGAAGCGGACATGGAGTCCCCAAAGGAAAGTGCTTTCTCACCAATTGCTATCATCCATGATTGTTGGATGGAGGGTACTGGTGTCATCAAAGTCAACAATTGGGTCGGTTGGTAGGTCAGCGCTATGCTTGGGACGGTTGGGGCGAATGTTTGGGACTCTCTTTTGTGTTCAAGCGATCATCCCAAAAGAGGTCCTTTGATGTTTGTGTGCGCACACGCACACATGGTCAACTGTCCCATCAACCTGCTGATTTCTTTCCTGATCCTTGCTCAGGCGTCCGTGCAAAGGGCCCATGGTAATTTGTGCAGCCACCGAGCAATGTGCCCGCCTGAAACAATGACCCACACATTGCACATCCATGTTTCTTGTTCCAGGTGTGTATTGCGTAGGTCTCTTCTTTTTTTTTCGTTCCGGGGCCAGTTCGCCTTGGAAGACTCACAGATGAAAGACCTGAGGCACCCATGGGCAACAGAACCCTTGGACTTGGAGAGCCAAATTTGGGTGGGGGGGGATGTTCTCACTTGGGATGGGACTCTTTTTGGTGGAGCTCAACCTTGAAAGATGCTGATCTGGCGAGGATTTGGATGGATTTGTCTTAAGAGGAGGCGGTTTTCTTGTTTTGCAAGCAACTGAATTGGCACTGGCTCGCCACGTGCGAATCTCTCAAGGTATTCCTTATAAGGGCTTCTCAAAAATGACCGCTGTTGCTACCCGTTTCCCTTTGAACCAACATTTCGGAGGGTCATTTTCATAGCCGGTCTTTTGTGTGACCAAGTCTCGCCCCTTCCAAAAAATGGGTCTCCACCTTCTCAGGCCTTTGTTCTGGGACGGATCTAGGAAGTGGACAGCGACTTCGCCTTTTGTGGTTTGCAAGTTGGAACCAAAAAGGACAACCACACCTTTTTTTCGTTTTTGGAGGTCCCCCAAGAAATCGTCACACGCACATGGCCGAGCCTGTCAGCGGTGGCTCCTTGAACTCAGGTGGCGAAGCACTACTTCGAGCTGACGCAGGCAGCCAGCGACGCTTTGCCTTCCGAGGCGCGGCAGCTGTGGATGGATGCGAAATGCAATTCGCAGCACTTCGAAAGGGAAAACCATTGCTTCCATTTGACGAAGAGTATGTTTCCCTCTTGGTTCTAATTGGAGTCTATCACTATTGGACTTATGTTTTGCCCAGGGGGCGTATGCAAATGGAGTTATCCAGAGGCGGCATCGCCAACAGATACCCACAGTTTTGCCCAAACCTGCCAGCTGCCAGCTGCTTCAGCATTTCTCAGCTGCCTAGGCTGAGGGGGATCTTACAGTTGTGTTGAAAAAGCAGACATACTTAGCTAGTTTGAAGAAGTATTTGTCAGGGTGTGATTCTTTGGGGACCCAACATTTTCCCGGTTAAAGAGTGGGGATCAGATTGGTGTAAAGCGAAATGGAAAGGATCATTTTTTGTTTGAAGGGGGGTCCCTGCATTTGGCCACATAGCCATTTGGCTGTCCTGTGAGTCCTGTGGCGGCAAAGCGCCGCGCAGGTCAAGGCGGTTACCAAGATCCAGTCCTACCACCGGGCGACGCAGATCCGCGTCGTGTATCACGAGGTTGTCGCGGCCGCACCTAGGATCAACAGTGGCCGTGAAACCCCAGCTCTGTGGCATCCTCGCCTTCTTCCTACCCAATCAATAGATTTTAGTTTGGTGGGTTCGGGAACGAAAAGGAACCAACCCCAAAACAGTTCCATTTCGTTTTTCCACCTGGCCACCTGGGACACTGGGCAGGGAAATGGTCGAGATGAGGGGGATCTTGGGGGATTGGCTGTTGGGGGAGGGGGGAGCGGGGGGAAGCAAAGTATCTGGGGCCGTTCAACAGCTTTTGTGGCCACGTTGGCTTTGATTGTTGGCGGTAGGTCTCTCTGCAGCTGCGCGCAATCAAGCGTCAGCAGTACACGAAATTCCGGGACCTGATGTACATTGCTCAGAGTGCGTTTGGTTTTGTTATGGTGGTAGCGTGTTTGTGTTTACGCAGCTGCTTCATTTTACATGTGTCTTGGGCACGTGAACGTGACGGAAGAGGATCGTGGATGGCCGCGCCAGTCGATGTATAAGTATATATAATTGAGGCCCCATGTATAATGCGAACATGCTGCGCCCCAGTAGACAAGCGAACATGCTGCGCCCAAAACGCGGCTGAGGTGATGGCGCTTGCTGCAGCTTCAAAGGTCCAGATGATTGTCCCTCAGAGAAGCGGGCCGGTTCGTAGACCATCTGGAAGTGGGCTCATGTTCTTTGTTTGAACCAATGGGGTTTCGCCCAGCCGACGTCAGCGCGCCCGAACAATTGTCCGCTGCCAGCAGCCTGTTTGTAGCGTTTATAGCATTGTCCGCGATCATTGAGTCATCTGAAAGTCTACTTTCACTGGTCAAGTTGGGATTGGCCACATTGGGGTTAGCCTCCTTTGGGAGGCTGACCCCTGCTTACCCATATATACATATATATACACAATAAGTTGGCCCCCTTCTGCTGCTACACTCGTAGATCAGTAGAGCATTGTGTGTGTGTGTGTTTTGTACGTCTATGTCTAACCATATGTGCACACCCAGCAACTGGATACGAAGAAACTGGATGTCGGCTTCGATCCAGCCTTAGGCGCAGCTGATCCAGCGCATGGTGCGAGGCTGCCTGGGCCGGCGCAGGGCGCAGGCGGTGAACCTCCAGCGCGACTCAGACGCGGGGTGGGCTGGTTCCTCTTTTGACTTTTGGGTTTCCTGTTTTTGGAAGTATTTAGCCAAGGTGCACTTTTGTCAACCATGGCGAATGCGGAACACGACTGTAAGGGGACCCAGGCTTTTTTGTTACACGCTCTTTCACGTCCAAGCACCCTAACGTGTATCGCGGATTAGTCGACTCGGTGGATTCTTCTTGCAGGGTTCGCAAGAAGTCAAGGATCCCCCACAGGGGTTTTTGATTCTCTCTTTTCTCTCTCTTCTCGAAATCGGTTGCTTTGAAGGCGGACAAAGGTTTCAAAGGATTGGGCTACAGGACATTCTAATTACAGGAAAGCAGCTTTTTTAGGTGTTTTGGGGCCACTTCCCGTGGATCTTCCTGCAACGGCCCCAGCGGTGTGCAAGGCAGCCTCTGAGGGGCTACCAACAGAGATGTAGCGCCTGCTTGCTGTGATAGGCTGAAAAGGGAAATACGGATTCTCAGAAGCAGGAAAAAGGCATAGGATGGCCATCTTAGCTAATGGCCTTGAAGGGCCCAGGCAGTCACTATTAGTCACCAATAGTCACTGGAAGCAAGCGGGCCCCCTTCTATGGACAGAAAAACGGATCTGGCCTTGAGCTTAAGTTGCCATCTTCCTTATTATTTCAAGTGAGGCACGGGGCACGAAAGCATTCGGACGACTATAATTGGGTTATTCCAACGGCATCATGGCGCTTGTCCACTTCCATTCTCTGCAAGGGGGTGTGCGACCTTCTGTTGGGTGTGCGAATGGAAGTTTAAACAAAGAAGCAGTCGCCTGTTTCAAAACTCAGGGCCATATGTTTGAAGCAGGGCAAGTTGACGCTTGGGACATCTTGGAATCCGCTCCCCTCCCCCAAAACAGCAATCAACAAACACTTCCGCATCCTGAAGCCAGGTTTGGTTTTGTTGCACTTTTGCTAGTTGGGTTTCGGCTTCACCCCATTTTTCTGGCAGACAAGCAAGCAACCCGACGGATCAGGGAAGACTGGTCACGGATCTGAGGCAACAACTGGCTGAGGCAGCACTTCTTCCACCACTGCGCTGCTTGGCTGGATGCGCCTGCCCCGAATGGTTTAGTTGTGTAAGGGGCCACATGGCTGCGGGTCAAAACCAATGCTACCATTTTGGGGTAGGCGCACCACCCATTTTAGTCTATTTTTATATTTTAGTTGGGATTGGGATGTTCACTGGGGGTACGGTACGGCATTTTGACCCATGGCCATATTTGCTAGGAGGGGTTGTGATGTCACTCATGAATGTTCCCTCATGTTCGGGCTGGGCGTTACTATGTGCCTAGATTGTTGCCCCGTGATCATGAGGCTATTTGTTGGAATAGTAGCCCCGCAACCCCATGCTGTTTGCTTAGACCCTCATGGTAGAGTAGTAGTTTACGCCATGCTCACATTGCCAGCCCAGGCATGCTGCACGTGGAATGCAAGCTACGAGTTGGGGAGGGATTGAGGGGACCTTGTTAGCGGGGTCAAGCTTGCGTCACAAACGTTATATTTTGGAGCATCCTGATGGCGACCCCAGATTAGTCAACTTTGAGGGTGAAGGGTTTCCTCCAAACTGCACCCTGATCAACCAGGGCTTAAGTACTTCTGGGTTCGCACTCGGACCGATTTTTTGGAACCCATCACCCAAAGGATGGCATGCAGCGCAGCAACTCCAAGTGCTCCAACGCTTTTGGCAGTTTACGGCTGGTGTGCGGCGTCCAGACCGTCTCAACAAGCATTAATTTGCGTGTTTGTTTCCTTGCCCATTGGCCAAGAAACCAAACTAAAAGCAAGCAAACTCCGTTTTGGATGCTTTAAGTATCACTCCTTTGGATGCTAGGTATTTTGCCCTCGGGACTAAGGGGATACCACCTGTTTGGCTCATACTTCGGATCGGGGTGATGCTTGTTCAGGGGAAATACCCTCAAGGGGTTCCTTAAAAAGGAAGACGGTCCAAACCAGGAACCCCCGGGCCCCTGAACGATTCCATGTGACAAGGCTGGGAGGCAAAAAATACCTCGGGGCGCTTCCAACTTCAGGCGCGCACCATCCAGAAGCGGTTCAGAGGCTACAGGAGCCGCAGCTGCATCCACGACTTCTACGGCCGGAAGTTGTACCTCGAGAAGGCCTGCGCCACGCCGAGCCGTAGGAGAGATGGCCAGTGATGGCCATGTTGCAACGTGTATGTATACAAATGATTGAGCACACACATGTCACACACACATACATATGTATATATATATATAGATATTCACACATGTATATATATATATATATACAGGTGTGGGTTGGTGTTCTTTTGACTTCTCTTCAAGCCAGCCAAAAGGGGGTTCCCCAAATGTCAGAAGGGGCTAGATGGAGCGTTGGTATCTACTTGGGCCTGTTTACTTCCCTTGATTATCTTTTGGTCAGAGCTGAACTCATGATGCCACCTACGAGGTGCGGAAGAGCCACATGAAACTGAATGACTGATACCGTACAGTATCCATTGAAGGTTTGATCGAAATTGAAGAGCCTGCTCACACAAGAGGGGCTAAGGCAGGGGGCTTCGGCGCATCCGGTTCAGTCTCGACCTGATCTGTCGAAGGGCTCGTGAAGTTCTCGTCAGCACCGGGGCTTGCTAAAGTACTGATGGATGTTCCGAAACGCTGGAGTATCATGATAGTACTGGATTCAATCAGGGGCGAATCACAATGCCGCCCACACATGTTTCAGATGGGCAGCAAATGGGACCTTGATGGCAACGCTCAGGTGATCCAAACTAGGCAAGACGACCAACAACACAATACCGCGTCGCTTGAGACACAAACAACGGCCAGCGAGGCTTGCCCCACAAATATATTCAGAAGCGGTCTTGCGTGCCAGCAGTAGCATGGCAGAAACTGGAGGGAGCACATAGGAGCGAGAACCTGCTCGAAACAAGCCAGTCACTTGTCTTCTTCACACACTCCTTTTTCCAGTGGGCCACGCTCGCAGGCTTGGTGTCTCTTAAACGCCAAAATCTGCAGACGAATGCAAATATTTGTTCGAACTGGAAACACGACAGCACAAGAAAAGTAAACGCGCTTGACGGTGTGTTTACGGACGCACATGAGTTGAGGAAGCTTGCTGACTGACGCTTGCAGCCCACACGCTTGGCTTGTAGCCTACACGCTTCTACAAGCGTGTAGGCTACCAGTATTCGCGCTTTCGCCAAGTGAACTTATTTGCAACGCTGTGGACTTGTTTCCGGGATTTCAAGATACTTGACTTCGCCAAAGTTCCAGGGCACTGGAGCTGATAGGTTGGCCGTTCCGCGCGCTTTAGCACGACTGATAGCACGGCGCCTGCCTACACAACTTGGTCGGACTAGGGATATTGTCCCATGCAGGGCGAGCATGCAGCAGTGTGCTCATTCCTCCAGGTGAATTTGTGCCGTCATGACGTCATGGCCAATGTGGCCATTGCAGTGTGTCAGCTGATCAGGACATTCACTCACCCCACAAACTCATTCCCTGGGTTCCAGCACTTTCAACTTTAGGAAGACCATCTTCAACAAACAGCTTGGCTTTGTTTGTCCAATCCACTCAGGAAATGAGAAAATGGATCCATGATCGGAGCTCCCATATTTGGTTCATGGACTGCTGCGTCCCGTGGCTCTCCGACGGATTGCGAACCTGTCCAGCTCAAGCTGGTCCATGGTGCGTGGCTTTTGGAAGGTTCCCCGAAGACAAAGTGGTCAGAGGGGGAACCCATTTGGGTGCTGTTGATGGACAGAGCTTGCACCATGCGGGATAAATGAAACCCGCCTAGCACAAGGTGCAGGATTTTGACTGCCCAAAGTACCAACGAACGACTTTCTCGCTTGCCCGCATGATTTCCATGTAGTCGTCGAACTTGTTCCACCCTTACAAACCAAAATGGTGTTGATTCCACCCGAGCTTCCTTGAGTCCAGATGGTCAATCGGTCCACCCGGCCACCTTCCTGGCACGCAGGTGGAGAAGCGTGGGGAATGGACCAAGGACTACTTGGCAGCAGAACACAAGGCCGGGCAGCAAAGTCCTCCCGCGAAGTTGCGGAATCCCTCAAAGGGGGTTGAATCCCCAAAGGGTGTTTTCCTTTACAACTGACGGTTCTTTCTTGATTTGGTTATTGTTTGGCGAGCTGAAATTGCCCATGATGTAGATTCCTGTATTGGCAGGGTCCCTCAAGTCAGGTGGGTCCAGAACACTTTTAGCCGCAAACTGTTCGTCGCTGGACTTCTTGTTTTGACGCAAGCTATTGAAAGCCGCGAGAAAACGGCAAAACCAAAGGAGGCGTGCCTTTCTCTGCGCAGAGTAAAGCGAACCGGAAACCACAAAAGATCGGACCCACGATTTTGAGACGAGCCCTGCGGTTTTCCGCGGCTTTCCTTTCTCCGGTGCTGTGCTGGCTGGGCTGCCTAGGAGAAGTTGGCGGCCGCGAAGGTCTCGGAGGAGCTGAAGGTCAGGGAAGAGCGGCTTGGAGCCAACGTTCGGCGGTTGTGCAGAGCTTCCACCCTTGAATCCCGTCTTGTTTGGTGGGGCAATCGGCCCAGTTAAACTCAATCACCCCAAAGAAGGAACGGCTCAAAGACCATGTTTCTATCCCCAGAGGGTCCCTTGGTACCTTCTAAGGAGGCACTGAACGACCCCATTTTACCCCCTTTTAAGCCATCCTCAGGAGGTAGGAGGGACCCTCTGGGGTCTTCGAGGTTCCAAGGAGAAGATGCAGCCTGGACTGGCTAGAGGTCCAATTGTTCCGCCTTAATGGAAGCTCACCCGGAGGTGAAGCGAGCGAAAGCCATGAAGGTCCTGCACTTGCAGATCCCGTCAGGTGAACAAACGGTACCCATAAAAAATACGTGGACCGCCAGGGGGGCCAAAGAAGAGAATCATCACCTCCGAACCTTCTCTCAGGTTCCATGGATTTTTCCAGATTTCTTTTGGAGGGAGGGGCAATGGCAAGCCGCCGGCGGTTTTATTGGCGAGGCTCGGGTGACTCGAGTGAGCCTGCGTCCACTGTGGAGCTGAACGGTTTCATCGCTCGTTTGTTTGCCCGTTCATAGCCATGAGCTGCAGTGGAAGGCTTGAACGTCATCTATGGTGGGCCGTCTGTAATTTTTCTTTTGGCAGGGTGATGTTTAATCCTTCCATCCCCCCACAGACAGAAGGAGATATGTAGCAATGTAGCTCCTCCCCATGTCAGCGCAACCCCCTTTGCATGTGCCCTCCAAGCTGGCTGGAGATGAGGCTTTGGCCCATGACCTACCCAGAGCCAAACAGAATCCTCAGGCCAAGGGAAGCCCAAGGGCCCCCTGACAATACAGTCACACAAACGACCCGATGACTCAGTTTGGTACCGATGGACTTTAAGTCCGCGAAACACACCAGTGGGCCAGTGGGGTAGGTTTCGATCCACTGGTTTTCTGCCGGTTTCGTCCATCCCAACTGTTGTCCCAGCGGACGTTGTCCACACACTTTCACTTTGTCTCTTTAGGGTCCCTGAAGATTCTCGCAAGGGTTGTGACATGCGTCCATCCATGAGACCAAAGTGATTTGTCTCTTGGCCCACTTTGCCTTCTTTCTTTTTTTCTCTCCGGCTTTGCTTGGCATCACGGGTGGAGTCACCACGGGGATCCGGAGTCGCCCTTTCGACGCGTGCAATTTGGGGTCCTCTGAGCCGGCTCAGGTTCCAGCACTTGGCGGGCGACTTGCGCCTCAGTCGGGCGGTTCGTGGGGCGGTGGGCCGAGGGACCGTGTTTGGGGGGTCCCAGGTTCCCCGCGGAAGGGGCGTCCCGCCGTTTTTGTTTTTTTTGACGATCAATTGACTGGTCACGTTCCCATTTTGTTTTGTGATCCTGCTTTCAAAGCCACTTAATTCCTGCAGGAATGGCCGATCCTTGAACAGGGGGATCGTCATGGAGTCAGCTTGGTTTCTCTGATTTCACGCTTTGCCACTGCCATGTGGGTGCTGTCTTTTTTTACGTGCGTGGGGGGTCCTTGATGGTTTCCCAAAGCCATTCAAAATGGAGTTTACCAGTTTGTGAGGCATTATCCCGAAGAAATTATGTCAGATGTAAGCTGGCTTAGCTGTGGGATCAAGGGGTTTTCTCCCACTTGTGCGATACAAGGAAATCTCCCCCTTGCGGGTTAGTCTGTGGGAAGCACTTGTTTCACAGAAATGGGTTTCCCACAGCCCTGCACCAAAATAAACTGAGCTTGTGGCCTAGCCAACCTGAGGCACCACCTCATGAGCACCAGGACCATCCCAGGCGCTGCAAGCTGATACCGCACGGCATCTTTGGCCGTGCATGGGTTTTCTTAGCCCTTTTGGTTGGGAGGGAAAAACGGTTGATAATTGGTGATACGGGAAACTTGGTTGATATTTGAACGTCATCTTCACATCTTGTTGCCCTCAATGCTCTAACTCTTCAGTCATTTTCAGCTTGTTTCCAGGGAGTTGGAGTTTCGGAGTGCCAGCTTGGGTTCCTGGCTTCTGATAGTTCACCACCGGCAAGCACAGGGGTCCATATGAAAGCTTCATCGTGGGTGACGTCGCAAACCCCTAGTGGCATCGCTGAAATAATGACCCAGTTTTTGGTAATTCTTTCTGGGTTCCCAAAAGGTCGACAAAGTGCACCTTAAATCACATTTTTCAAGAATTTGGTTGACTTCTTAATCCACTCAACAACTCTTCCAGGGCATGTTTAAAGGAGGTTGCAACCCTCCAAGAGGCCATCTTTGGGGTGTGTCTAAGCGAAGAATCCAAATGGATGGGTTTGCCTTTGAAGTTTCTTTCTGATTCTGGGCTTTGACCCTAAGAGAACTCACAACATGTGTCATTTGCACTATTGCTTTTCCACTTGTTTTCCATCCCAAAAAGGGTACCCTTTTTTATTTGTCTCCCTCAACAGAAAGTCAGATGCACACGCCCCGTGAACCCCTGCGGGACCCACGGACCTTTCCACCAAGCTCCTACGCAGCCGGCCAAAGGTTTTAGTTCGGCATAACATCCCCAGTCTTAGGGATGCGATCCGCCAGATAGCCACCAAACATCCGGGAACAACTGTTGCTTCCCTTCAACGGTTTCAAAGAATGGGGAGTCAAACCGTATCATGTTACTTCGGACGAAGCAAAGTCAAATGTCCTTGCTCCTTCCAGGGTTTTAATGCATGACTTAAGGGGCAATTCGGGTTCCTTTCGGATGCCTTTTGGGGTTTCCGGGGGTCTGCGACCATGAGAAAATGGATAAGGCTGCTTAAAGGGGCGATCGGGCACCTAAGTGGCCAGCAACCATGGTGAGACAACCCGCAAAAGCCATGGTTATAAGTCTCCGTTCAGTGGGTGATAACCATGGTGAAGAACCACTGCCTAAGTGCCCGATCCCCCTTTAAGTGCCTGCAGGCGTTTACAATCCGCCCTACAGCGACCTTTTGCCTCGCGCCTTTGAGAAGCCCATCGAGGAACATCTCCGGGAGGCCTGTGTCGCGGCTCGGCTCAATGCGAACCACGCTCCATCCAGGTCCCCCCAGTAGTGCCCTTTTACCCTTTTTTTTGGGGAGGGTTCCCCTACAAAAATGGACTACAGAAAAAATGGTACCCTTATTCTAACCTCTCTGCTGGAGGACCTAGTCATGCGAACATTTGATGTTGTCCTTGTTGCAGATTCGCTTTACCCACTTGGCTACTAGCACATGAATCCTTCTGGTAAACCCCTACTACTTGTATCAGCTTGCGCCACAGTTCCACAAGGGTTTGTTCTTGACCTGCCCATCGCAGGAGGGGATTTGCGAAAGACACCCGGAAGTGCTTCATGTTCTGAATCAAAGATGGGCGAACCCCGGATGTGATACCACAAAGCCTTGGTTCGTGGTCTTTTGGCCAAGACCTCGGGCCTTTGGTGTGTTGGGCCCGGGCTGTGGTTGGAGCTAGGGCATTTGTCTACCTCCTGCGACCGTGGCATGTTTTTGAACATGTGCTGGTTTTGCATTTGGCTTCGGCAGAAGACGCGCACGGACCATCTTGACCAGCTCGCTTGCCGGCATCCTACAGGATTTCCTTGTGAACAAAACCCGGGCAGCTCACTTGGAATGCTTCTTTAAAGGAACCTTGTTTGTCAGGCAAGTACCTTTAAGCGGTCCAAGTGTGAGAGGGTCTTTCAGACACGTTTGCGTGATGCGGCTTTGCTGACAAACGGCGGCCTTGCCGGGCTGCAATTGGCTCTACTGTCGAAGCCGGCTGCTGTTAGAACAAGGTGAACACTTCAGCAGTCAGGAGATACTTCGGCCGAAGAAAGTCATCGAAGGTCATCAGAATTCCGGAGCTTTAGACCTAGATGCGTGCGAGCTGCTTTGAGGGAAGTGCTTCGTTGTCCAGAACGCGAATCAACCTTTCAACCTTTTGTTTCCCCGTTGTGGGCCCATTTTTTGTCGAGGAGCCGAAGGACGCCCGTCCTTAGGAAGAGCAAAGGAGGGCTCGTCAAAGCGAAGCTCAGTGCAACACTCACGGGGTAGGCCACAAAAGGTCGCAGAAGGTTGACCTTTTATTTCCAGGTGAGAAGTCGGCCACTACCTCCCCTTTGCCATAGATGCGACGAGAAACCCTTTCATTGATACTGACAGGCTTGCGTCAATCTGCCCGACTTGTATGAGTGGTTCGCTTCGCCCCTCTAAGGATGTCCCTTTTGGGCCCATTCCGCTTGGCATCAAGTCTTGTATCAATGGAGATTCCTTGGTGACTTGGCTGTCCGAAGCCTCCCTTTCTACCTGTTTTGGGGTTTGCCTTCCAGCCAACCTTGAAGCCTTTTTCTGGGTTTTCTTGCTGGTTCTCAGTCAGGGATCCCCTTAAAGTTTTAAAGGAAACCAGCAGGGATGGTTTAAAGGGGACAATTCCTCATTCCCTACTGAGCACCAGCAAGCTTTGCTTGAGCAGCTTTAGTCAGCGCCCTTTTCAACAGGACGCGCGTGAAAACTTTCGGCTCTTTGAGGCCAAGATGCCAGCATCCCTGAAGAGGCGGCCGGGCTAGCCCATCGCTTGGGCTAGATGAAAAACCTGGGAAGCAAAGCAACCTACTCGGTTGCCCAAAGCGAATCGACCTGTCTGCCTTTTGGTTTGGCTTTCCTCTTGTAGGTCCATATTTAGTCAAGGTCGCAACAGGTTAACCTGTTTTTCCAGGTCCTTTAGTCAAGTGAGACTAACTGTTGTCACATGCCTCTGGAGAGTTCGTGCGCGGGTCCCTGTTGCATGGGGCCCTGCGCCGCATTGTTTAAGTGATGTGTTAGGGCTTCCCCTTGAAAGTCGAGCTTCTGCGGAGCTGCGTGCTATTTCGTGGTCAGTTGGCTTGAAATTGTTGGGAAGGCAAATGTATTTCGAAGTGGGTTCCTGTTCAGTGATGTAAACCATCCCATGTCATCCCCCCATGTTGAACAACAAATACAGAGCTTGTTTGCTACTTGCTGTGATCTTTATCGCGCATGCTCCGACTGTGGATGGATGAAATCCTGCACCAGTCGGGATGGATCAAACCCTCTGAACGGGATTGACCACCTACCAACTGGTGCGAACAAAGTGGATGTTGGCAGTACTGCTGGGGACCCGGTCGTTTGGGTTCGAAAAAACAGGTTGGAGAACCTACATCCAATGGTGTGAAACTCAACCCGTGACTCGAAAAGCAGGAATGTCTACACTGGAACCTTTCATTTGTCAATTCAGATGGCATTTGGAGTACACAAAGAAGGGTCTTTGGAGTAGGGGGTGACCCCAAACCAACGTCTTAAACCCGAGACGGCCGTTTCCATGTGCGTTGACGCGTCAGGACGCGGCACCGCTCCGCCAGAGCTCAGGGCAGCGCCCGCTTCGGCGCCTCACAGGCGGCTCGGGAAGTCGGATCTCTCCCCGGTTTTAGTGGGGATTTCTCACTGGAGAAACTTAAAGGAGCCTTCCCGCAACTAGGTGCCCTTGTTCTCCCCTTTTTTGGTGGGGAGGGGTTCCCTATTAAAAAAGACGACAGAAACAAGGGTACCCTTATTTTAACCTCTGTGCTGGAGGACCTAGGAGCGATCGGGTCATCGGTCCAAGCGGCTAGTCCCCTCCTACTCTAAATATATATATATATATATGTATACATCTAGGGGGAGGAGGAGGGGTACATCTAGGGGGGAGGAGGAGGGGTACATCTAGGGGGGAGGAGGAGGGGTACTTAGTAAGTGGTTACAAACCAGTGACACCTGCCCAAATGGATCCCAGTTACCATATAAACCAGCAATTTTCCTTTTGGTTGTTGAAGGCTAGTTCCCTTGGAGGGGCGATTTGGTACTAGGTAAGTGGTTAGAAACCATGGTTGTAACCCACAAAAGCCATGGCTACAAGTCTCCGTGGTTTGTAACCATGGTTGCTAACCACTTACTAGGTACCCGATCGCCCCTTTAAGTACCGTGGCCAAAATCTGTTCCGCAGCACTTAAGAAGCCCTGCAATGATTCGATACCCCAACCTAAATACCAACAAAACTTGTTGGTTTCAAGCATGGTTTCCAAGGGACGCGAAGTTTGTCCATCCATATGAGCCCATGGCCATTTGTGCCCCCTTGACTGGTTGCCCATAGTTGCGGTGGCTAAGTTTCCACTAGGGTTCAGACCATGGGTTCATCCCAACCCTGGAAATCCAACAAAACCAAGCCGCCGTATCGCTGGCCTTTGTGACAAACATTGCCCCTGAGGCCTTTTGGACACAAATGGATCCAGTACAGAAGGCCCATTATTTTTTTGGACAGGACCAACTTGACTCAAACAAAAAGGAGTTGGGACGGGAGGGTGGAAAAGTGGGGGGGTAACCTCTTTCAGGAAAAGCTGTCTTTTAAGCTCCTTGCAGTGGACCGAAACTCAAGAAGCCACAAAAAGTATCGAAATGTGGATCCAGGCTCACCATGGATCCAGGCACACCCCATTTGGGGCCCCGCTTCATACATGTCCCATGGTTTTCCTTGGTGGGAAAAGCAACATCATGCATAACCAAGGGGAGCCCATGAAGTGTAGTTAGGTCTGCGGATTAACCCAGGCCGTTTCCTCAGGAAAATGTGGGGTGGATGGGAAACTGTGTTTGACCCAGGGCAAAGAACGGAGAGGCAGTTTGCAATGGGTTCCCCGATGGATTCCAACAATCATGTCGGAAGCATCCGGCCATTTCGGAGCCCATTTCTTAGAACCCGTCCAGCGGATCATCGACACCAGCGCGATCGCTTTTGGTTCTATAGATCCTGTTGGGGGTAAAGCATGGCGACCTCCAATGGATGTGTCCAATTCTTTTCTCCTCTTTCGAAGCTATTCTTTCACAAGGCAGGGGACAACCTCGCTTCCTGAATCCCTGGACTTTTGAGACGTTTTAGCGGCAAGCAACAAGTTCCGACCCTTTTTCTCAGCCAGCCCGTTCAGGAAGCGAGACAACTGGCGCCCCACCAACCTGGGCGTTTCCTCCACCCGGCCGAATCAGTCACAAAGGGATGGTCATCATAGAGTGGAGACTGACTTTCTCCTGGAGGCTCCCTCTTCCGACACAAAATGCGGGCAATGGGTTTTTGGCTTTGAAGCTTCCATCGCCTCAGTTGTTCAGTAGCACCCTTTTTGCCCTTTTCTTTTTGTGGCCCCACTACAAATGGTCTTCCCCAAAAAGGGTTCCCGGTTTTCCCCAGGGTCACTGAACTGAGTCGCTTTCCCCCGAGCTCCGGACTCGGATATCGCGCCTTCCGCGTCAGGCGGAGGCGAGCTTCTTGGAGGAGGTGCGGCCGCCCCAGGAGATCGCCGAGAAGGCGCCCTGCTTCTCGCGGGCGGCCTCTTCCGGCCGGGGGCCCGGATCATGGGCGAGGCTCCCCCCAGCGATTGGTGCCCTTCTCAACCCCCTTTTTTTTCTTTTGGGGTCGGGAGGGTTCGGGACCCTACTAAAACAGACTACAGGAAAAAGTTGGTACCCTTATTCTACCTAGTCAGGGAAACGTCCCATGGGCCGAAAAAGCGCCGGTAGTTCTTCCAGAGCTAGCGGTTTCTTGTTGAAGCTGAATGGCATGCGGTAGTTGGTTGTTTCGAAATGATGTGATGCTTGGTAATTGGTTGGTTGGTAGCTCAGTTGCCCAGAACGAATCGACTTTTTGACCTTTTGGTTTTCCTGGTGTGCTCCATACTTTGTCAAGGCCACAAAAAAGGTTAACCGTTAACCTTTCATGTTCAGGTCCTTTGGGCAAGTGAGGTAGTTCTAGCGCAGTTAGGAAATCAATGGCCCCTGCGCTGCCTGGGCCAAGAGCATTGCGAGCAACCTGACTTTTTTTTGCTTGTTGGTTCGCTTCGTGTATGCGTGTACCGTGTGTTTGATGTTCCTGTTTCGTGCTCAAACAAAGTAAGGGAAATTGTGCTTGGCAGCGTTTGAGTGTTTGAGTATCATGTGGCCTGGTTTTGCTTCAACAGGCCCCATGCCATGCTGATGAGGATGTTCCCCTTTTGTCTAACTTATGGGTACCCTCCCAAAAGCAAACCACTGCAATGAACATACCCTAGGTCCCCAGTAGTGCCCTTTTACCCTTGTTTGGGGGAGGGTCCCCCAACTAAAATAAACTACAGAAAAAAAGGGCACCCTTATTCTAACCTCTCTACTGGAGGACCTAGCCACTGCAATGAACATACATGTGCAGCACCATGTTGATGGTGTCCTGGTATGTCTCCAAGATGGTTGCATTCCCACGCCACTGGAAACGTGGCACGCGCCCTTTTGAGTGAGTGGCTAATTGTGTATGCTTTACTGTTTGGGTTCCATAATGACTTTCATTCATGTCCTGGTCTGGGGCCCATGTTGGCTTTGATGTCCTTGTTTGGGTTTCATGTTGCCGTTCATGTCCTTGGGGCTCATGTTAGATTTTACCTTGTGGAGGGGTCCATGTTTTGACTTGCGTGTCCTGGTTTGGGTTTCATGTTGTGCTTGGGGTTGTTTCGGCGGTCTTCCGTGTTCAGCTTTGGGTCCAAAGAGGCCCAGACGAAGTCTTAGAATCATACTGGCCCTGGAAAGGCTTGCTCTCTTCATAGAAGCCAGCTACAGGACATTCTGCACGAAACTCGCCAAATTCCCACCTAAATCAGGGTTTCCTGTGGAACTTCCTGTAGTTGGTTTGTTAGATCTCTTGTTCAGCTCAAGCTCGGCGCCTCTCAATGCCCTATGGCAGCACGCCGCGCACTGACAATTCGCCTGGGTTGTTTTGCGGCCACCTTTGTTATCTTAGCTTAAATGCTGAGGCTGAGCTCCAGTTTAGCTTCCATGCACGTTTGCCTTTTCCTAACAACATACTGAGCGTAGGGCAGTCGGAGCAGGTGCGCCGAGCATGATCAGAATTCGAAATGGATGATTTTGAGGGGGTCGGAGTTCCCACTGGCCATGGGAATAGCCCGATCCAATGTCGCCTGGAACAGTTGGAGCATGCTTACCCTCACTCCCACTAACATGGCAACTGACAGGGGGTCCCTTCAAAAGGAAATTATTTTTCCATATACCTCCCCACACAGGTGGCATGTTAGTTGGAGGAAGGGTAATTTCTAAAACTGACTGGAGATCCACAGCCGCAAAACGAGGAGAGTGCGACTGACTTGTCCACCTGCTCGCCCAACAACTCACTAAATCAAATGCAATCCCTCAAGCAGAACCCAACCAAATCCTACCCAGCCTGCATTGATGAAAAGCAGATCCCAACAGCAACTTGCCAACCGGACACAACACATAAACGTCACATAGGCAGATAGATAGATAGATAGATAGATACATAGATGGGCTTTACGTAAATGTGCATTTCTACTTGCATAGTCAAACATATGGCGAGCACTTTGTGAGCAAGGGAACTATTTCAACCAGCCACATCTCTGAGGTCGGCTTCGGAAGATTCAGGGACCATTTCGGTCCAGAGAGCAAATCGAAGTGGCTCTGGCCTCGGGTTGGCAAAGCTGGGTGGTCACGCGGTTCAACGCCGACCTCCCTTTAATCACCTTTTCATGGTCTTTTTGTTGATCTACTTGTAAAAGGTCGCAAAAGGTGAAGCTTGTATTTTTAGGTCCTTCGGGCAAGCGAGATCAATTCGGAATCCAGAGGACCCTACTCATCAGGGGATCCCGCAAATTCTCTCACACGGGAACTACTGATTGATACGATCCATCCTGGCTTCAGGCTCCTTGGAACAACCTGCACTGTTTAAGTGGGAAAGACCTCATGAAGGTCCTTCAGGATTCCGTAATGCCCGGTGTTTTCTGGGGTCCCCTGACTGCCGGAACGCAAACCTCCATGAGTCCATGAGCACATTGCTCAAATTGCGACTGTCCCAAGATCTTAGACTTGCTGGATCTTGTCAAACGACGGCATTCTATAGGGGCCTGCAGGCTACTGACAAACGCTTCGGGAGTGTAGCAGCTTGTACTTGGCACAGGTGTCTGAATCAGTGATTACTGCAAGTGGAGAACAAGGAACATCTAGCAATTCCACATAATTTATAATTGATTTACTTGCTTTACTTGTTTGTCTTCGCTGCGCCAGCTTAGCTCGACCACTTCGTTCATTCGCGCCATTTGGGACTCTGATGTCTTTTAGCCCCCGCCGTTTTGTTAACCCCCGCGCTTCCGTCCAGGGCCTGATGCGTTTAGACTGTGAACACAGCACCCGCTTCCAACCAAAAGAAGTGGGGGGGGGGGCTCCAGCCATGCCATGCCTGGATTGATGAGGATCGCTTACGCACCAAACATGGCGAGGGTCGATGTCTATGCCTATCGAACAGCTCCCTTATCCTGCACCTGGTAGTTTCCAAGGAGTTTCCCTTTGACTCCTTGGGAAAGTAGAGGGGGCCCAGGAGTCTCTACATTCCCCTTTTCTGCTTGTTAAAGCAAATTGGTGGCCCTTCTTTTGGTTGGCCACTTATGGGAAACCAAAAGCAAACCACACATTGTAGGATGGTTATTATTGGGGAGCCCTGCCCCTGATTTTATTGTCAAAGGCGCGTTCCCTTTTGTGTCCCAACCATGACAAGACATGCCGTATCTGAGCTTCGATGCTGTGAAATAACGCAGGAGCACATCCCTTCCATAGCACCAACTAAAAAAGCTGAAGTGCTACGTGCTGTTGCTTCGACAGTCACACTTTGATGTTTATGGAGAATGGGAGAGACAGACTAGATACAAACATACACGGAAACGGTGGTGCCACATCCCAACCAGTCGCCATGTCTCTTCACTTGTTGAATGTCGACTGTGACCAAGGCCAACGTTAAGGCAGCCCAGTTGTACGGTGTCTTGGCTACACCATCGAGTGAGAGAGGGATACAGCGTGCCATCAATTCGGGTGTCACGGGGCGCCCCAGTCCAAATCCAAGAAGGGCGCCCTTTTTTACACTCCGTAGCCATTTTGGCTTAAGAATCCATTTTGGATCAAGATGGCATGGCAGATCATGATGATTGAAGAAACATTGACCAAACCGCTGAAGAACAAAACCGAGAGCCCGCACCTCCCGCAGCAGGATGATCAGCAATAAATTGGCAGCGGCACCCGTCGGTTCACAACACCGTAACTACGGCTTCTGCGTGGCATGGAAAAGGATTCGATCAGCAAAGTGCATCAGCAAAGGGATTTTTTCAGGTCCTCGTCTTGTTGTGACCTGGCATTCAAATATGGATCTGAGGCACGCATCAGGTGATTTTGGCAGATTGGTGGAACCTGTGGGCAAGGTAGACCATGTACCAATCCAGCCCAAAGTACTGTCTTCCATGGTGGACATCAACTCAAGGCCATAATTGCCCGTCTTCGCACAGGACGAGCACGTGGTATCACTATGCGGCACATGCGGCGAAATAAGATTGGAAATGCCAGTAGCTGCGTGCTTGTTAAGATTTGCAGTTGGGCGGCAACCACTTTGAAACTTTACGTATTGCAATAGCCGAGGCGACTTTCCTGCCAGCGCCCTGGCCCACACTTGACATGTGCTATAGCTGCAGGACGAATCTGGGACCCTGCCTTTTATACTTTGAGGACATCTGCGCGGAAATTTTGGAGTGTGCAGACGCCAATTCTGTGAGATTCTAACAAAGGTGGGGCACGGCGCAGCAGTGCGCAGAGGGAATCAAAATCTACGGCTTGCATGGGGACCTTGGTCCTAGCACACAGGTTGAAACTGGTGAAGTGGACACCATTGCCACATTAAAACTACTATTACGCGCCCAGCAGGGCATTGAGTTGCACCTGTTGTTCAAGGACTTGGATAGGATGCTGCAGACGTCTTGGCAGGCAAGCCAGAATTGTGAAGAACCAGTACTTGGAAAGCAAGGCAGCACTTCCGGTGATTGTCGCAGCATGTCAAACTGACATAGCGAGGCAATGCGAGGCAAAAATACAGGCCATGTGTCAGAAACGTGCAAAAGTTGTAACAAGGCAGCAGATATCATAAAAACAACCTTGGGGCAGTGTGAAACCAGGAGCTGACACTTTTGACTTGGAGGTGCTGGAAACGAGTGTGCCTGGGCTCACACCCATTTTGCCTTTGGTACCCGTGAGTGGCCTAGAAGCCCAAATGGAGCGAATCCGATACGCCAGTTGGTTGCCGCTTCCTCAGGTCACAACCACTCCGAGTTGAGAGACGCAGCCTTTGTCGTAGGAGAAAACTTGCAAATTGTGCAGGCAAAAACAGTGCATCGTCACACAAGTTATGCAGGACAGATTCACCCCGGCAATCTTCCATTGCATCCAGTGTGGATCAGCGCGAGCAAACCAAAGGATCAACGGGTGGATTTGTGTGCAATAGCCTGTGCTTGGACTGCTTCGGCTACCCAGGATCCGTAACGACAGTAAATAGAACGCATCATGTCCAGCGAAGGCTCCCTAGAGTTTTTGGGCGGCCCTAAACTATGACCGTATATGCTTTGCCTGTGATGTCAGAAAACGACACAGGGAGCATGAGATCATGAACGGGCCCGCTCACACCGACATAGCTCGCGCAATTGGTACTGTGGGAAATCGGAGCTTGCTGGAAATGAGGCAGGGGACCTTCCTTAAACATCTTGAGCGCGCTCGTTGAAAATCCTGAACAGAGGTTCATGCTTGCGTCAAGATGAAGCAAATTCTTCGGAAGATCGAATCCGAGCAAGACAAGTTCCTGATTCTTTGCAAGGTTGGGGTAGCACGAGGAAAGGCCAGCGTACGCTCTTCCTGAGCAAGGTGGCGTGGCTAAATTAACCCTCCAAATCTTGGAGCAAAGAACTTCTCTCGGTCGAGGCCAGCTGGAAGCTCTCCAGCGAATCTTGACGGGCCCATCTTTTCCTTGCGAGCCCGAAAGACTATTCCGCAGTTCAATGGGCTGGTTACCAAGACATGGCCGAGTTATTGCCAGCCTCATGGCGGGGCTGCTCCGGGAAGCTGCTGAGGCGACTCGCCTCAGCAGCTGCCCGGGTGTGTATTCCTTTTGCGCGAATGTATAGGAAACGCGTCGAGAAACCTCGCTGCGTGGCGCAAATCGGATCAAAGGTGCGCCGCCCCTTTTAAATACTTTTCCAATGGTTTCCCTTGGTGGGCAAAAGGAACATAATGTAGAACCGGGCTGGGTACCATTGAGCAAAATCTTCTGAACATGGCCAGCCTTACATGGTTAAGAAAAGGAAGCACGCCTTTTGTGGTGCAACTTAGCACAACTTTGAACCAAGCTTGGCTGCATCCTACCAGGCCTGTCCAACACTTGTTCAACAGTGTTTGCTAGACTTTGTTAAGGTTGTTGTTTCCCGGAGGCAGGTCGTCCTCCATCCTCAGGTGCTTATTTGCCCGCTTTGGCGGTTAGTTTGCAGTGCACCGCAGTTGTCTGGTCGTATTGTGCATCTTTTCTTTTGCTAACATCATGGTGTGTGGAGATTTTAAACCCCAGGGTTGGTGATCAAGTTTTTGCCCCTGGTGGCGGTGACGGAAAGCCGCAGCCTGTGTGCCTGGAGGCCGCTTGCCCTGCCAGGAACCATTCAGGCGACTGGGCCCTATGATGCTTTGGAGCACGACCAGCGGATGCAGGCAGGGAACCTGAGGTTCTCAATGCCTTTTGTAGACATGCAGCCGCATGAGCAATCATAACGTGATTCGCGCCCCAACATGTGTTGCTTTGAGGGGTCAAGTGGGTGCTTGTTTGCCCCAGGTTCTGCCTAGTCCCAGAGAGAAAGTTTTTCTAATTACATGCATGGCAGGGTGTCAGCCAACATCAACTCGCAGAGTTTTTTGGTTTCGCCTCGCGCCCTCGCACTCAGCTTGAGGCGAGGATCTCCAAGCTGGTGCGCAGCTCCAACTTGGACTTCCGAGCTGCGGGCAACAAGGAGCGCGTTCAGTCGGGACTTGAGTTAAGGGGAGGTAGAGGGGGTCCCGGTTCGCCCGAAGCAGGAAGTTTAAAGCAAGCCAGCAGTTTAAGTCAAGCAAGGATTTTGTAATTTATGAGGTGGAATTCCTTGCCCCCGGTTGGGTCTCCAGCAAGGCTGGGTATGAGGGAAGCTGACACCTATCCCGGACCGGCAGATGGATATTTCCCAAACTTGGCACCCAATTGCTCAGTGAACTCCAACCTCGAAACTCCTTTATTTGGGTTGGGACCCACCAAGACGGGGTCGACCCCGCAAAAAGAGATGATTCCAATTCTTTTCCAGGCATCCTTTTTTGGGGTGTGTTTGGGGTTGGGGTTACAACTGTGTGTAAACCCCCTTCATCACTTTGGCTACTAACCCCGGTCAGTTGACGTGCTAGCAACCGTAGACTCCAGGTCCAAGCACCCAATAGCTCCAGCTCAGGAAAAGGCGACGCCCTCCAGCGTTCACGTGCGCGGGCCTCAATTGTTGAACTTTTAGAGTCTCGAGAAAGTGCCGCCGGGGGCCGGGGGTTGAGGTACAAAGGAAACCTATCCATATCGTTCTTTTGGCCTGCTTCAAAAGGAGGCCAAATGAATGCCATCCCTTTGTTTTCATGGGGGAAATGTACTTTGGAGAGAGAGAGAGAGAGAAGCAACCAAAAATATGTCCCTTCAAGTGAGCAAGGTTCCAAAACCCGTTCCCACAAGGGCCATTTGAATATGTGGTTATTCCTGGTCATTTGGCGGTTATAGCAAGGCCTGTGTAAACCTTTCCAACCGGCTTCGTAGACCCACGGGTCATGTGACATTGTGTTTGTTTTAAACATTTCGAGGGTTCCTTTGCGGCAAGAGAAACATGGTCGGGCACCTTTGGCAACTGGGGCCTGCAACAGAAAGCTCTGCAGCTATTTGCCCAAGGGATGTTGAGTTCAAAGTGCGCTGGCACATTGGTGTCTTTGTTTCCGTTTGGGGGCTCATGCGAAGAGAACAACAAGAAACTCAAGCTTCCTCCTAAGCAGAGACAATGAAACCCCTTGGAGTAGAAACATATTGTTCGGTTTCGTTTGGTTTCCCTCCGGTGGCAATTTCTGCCCTTGTCGAGTCTCGGGTCTTGGGAGCAAACATATTTCTTTGGGCATCCAGCTTTCCCATTTCTGGGGTTTCCCCGAACACTGGTTGATATTTTCTATGGGTCGGCAGCTCCATATGAAAGCTGAATCCAAGACAACTATGTTCTGCGCATCGATTTGGGGCCAACACGTTCCACGCTCTCTTGATGGGCTCTGCGCAGCGACCCCCACCAAGCTCATGACTTCACTTCCCGGGATGAAAGTTCTTCACTTGGGATTCCTGGGTTTCTAGCACGAGGAATCAGAATCACCGGGTCCCCTAGCATTTTGGATCCCTCCCCGCCGTCCCTTTAATATAAGCGAACGATTGTGGGATTGTTTGGATTGGCTTGAAGGGAAAAGCAGAAAATCAAGTTGTCTTTCTCCGGGAAAAGGGTTGAACCTCTGGCTTTGGTAGACGCTAGATGGGGAACCCCTCCGTTTCACCACCAAACATCCAGACCACCAGCTCGAGGGAAGCTTCATTTGGGGAAGCTCGCCTCAGAGACGGCTACGCTGAGGGGCATGCCCTTCAACGACCGCCCGGTAGAGCTCCGCGGGGACTACGTGGAGCTTCCCAAGATCAGGGACCCAAGCGCCGAGGGGGGCGGGGGTTCCCTTTCTCATTTGATTGCTCAAGACTTGGGGGTCATAGGGTCCCCACTGAAACTAGTTTACAAGACGATCTTATGTGTTAGGCTAGACTAGATATGAGACAGAATCTGAACATACTGCTTTCCATGTACCGCAGATGTGGGCCACAATGGGTATGGGGGTTTGGACCCCCAAACTTGGTTTTCCATCCTTCGCCAGTTGGTTCCCGAACTAGGAACACAATTCAATGGCGCAATTCCGGTCGGTTCGTCAACCTCAATAGCGTGCCTCTCAGGCAAACTGACATGGAACCCAAAAAGGGTCTGCCCCACAAACATATTTATCGATCAAGTTTTTCAGGTGGATTCCGCTCTCCAAATCCTTTGAGTTGCACAGTTTTAGTCATTTTGCCTGCAGAGGCTGCATCCGACAGGCCGTCACACCAGGTCATTTACATATTGCAGGACACTTGCAAAACTCCTTTCAGGAAGGGCAATACCGCAAAACCCAGGTTTCTTTGTCCAGTGAGCATTTGGATTGGCACACCCTGCGCGGCTTTGACATGCTCATGCTGCCGACATGACCGGACAAGCTTCAGCTCCTGAGATCCCAACCATGTTTGAGCGTTTTGTGGGACACCCCAAGGAAGGAAGTGTTCGAGTTGACTTCTCTATAAAGCTAGGACCCCCACCCCCCAGAAGAAAAATAAAAATAAATAAATAATATATATTTATACAAAATCGAAAAACTATTCAACATGGCTTCCTTACAGGCAGGTTCAGCGATCGGATCCGGGAGGACAAGCCTCCGTTCTTTACAGCGCATGGTGGCGGCAAGCAGTTCGGGGAGTACCACGAGCAACCATTGCGCCCGGACGAGATGGGGTTTGGACCGGAGCACTTCTTGCCATGTGCCAAAGGATGTCCCTTTGCCAACTTCAACAAATTCCAGCCTCATCCCTGTTTGCTTGGTGGGTCCGGGGCCCACCAAAAATGGCGCGGCGTCAACCACACAAGACATGGTGACGCTTGTTTTTACACCCGGCTTACTGGTTGCAACTGGGTCTGAGTGTACCTTGAGGCATTGTCAAACGGAGTCTTAAAAGGACCACGCTTCTTTGCGTCTTGTCCAACTCGACCATAACCTTGTCCCCTTCCTTGGGGTAATTATCCTTGCTGAGCGGAGGCTTGCCCAGCTCCCGGGTTCAACCGAAGTTTCCCCGGTTGTAAATATTCACTGGGTTTGAAGGGTGAAGATTCCTGTTGTTTGACAGAGTTCCAACTGTTCCAACCAAATTTCCCAACTCGCCCAAGGAAGCCCAAGCGAGTTTCCTTGTGATTTTTCCCGAAAGCATGGCGAAGGGTTCTTCCGCTGGGTTCACTTGAGTTGTTCTCATGAGAGTCATTACAAGGTGTCATTGCAAGGAACCATCATCATGAAAGTCAATGCAAGGAGTCATTGCAAGGAGTCATTGCAACGAGTCATTGCAAGGAGTCATTGCAAGGAGTCCATTGCAAGGAGTCATTGCAAGGAGTCATTGCAAGGAGTCATTGCAAGGAGTCATTGAGTCATTGCAAGGAGTCATTGCAAGGAGTCATTGCAACGAGTCATTGCAAGGAGTCATTGCAAGGAGTCATTGCAAGGAGTCATTGCAAGGAGTCATTGCAAGGAGTCATTGCAAGGAGTCATTGCAAGGAGTCATTGCAAGGAGTCATTGCAAGGAGTCATTGCAAGGAGTCATTGCAAGGAGTCATTGCAAGGAGTCATTGCAAGGAGTCATTGCAAGGAGTCATTGCAAGGAGTCATTGCAAGGAGTCATTGCAAGGAGTCATTGCAAGGAGTCATTGCAAGGAGTCATTGCAAGGAGTCATTGCAAGGAGTCATTGCAAGGAGTCATTGCATTGCAAGGAGTCATTGCAAGGAGTCATTGCAAGGAGTCATTGCAAGGAGTCATTGCAAGGAGTCATTGCAAGGAGCAAGGAGTCATTGCAAGGAGTCATTGCGAGCTGCGCATGGAGTCAAGTGCAAGTTGCAAGTGCAAGGAGTCATGAGAGTCATTGCAAGTCAAGTGCAAGTGCAAGGAGTCAAGTGCAAGTTGCAAGTGCATGGAGTCAAGTGCAAGTTGCAAGTGCAAGGAGTCAAGTGCAATTGACTTGCGAGGAGTTAAAATCTCTTCTTAGGGCGGCGGGGTAGTGCCGACGACACTACACGAAAATCGACCCTCTGCGGGGATCGGCGTGGTCGAGGTGCAAAAACCCATTTTTGCGATTTCTTTCGCGCGACCCTCTGCGGGGATCGGCGTGGTCGAGGTGCAAAAACCCATGGTTTTTTGCGATTTCTAACCTGCTCGCGCGACCCTCTGCGGGGATCGGCGTGGTCGAGGTGCAAAAACCGGTGGTTTTTTGCGATTTCTGCGGTGCTCGCGGCGACCCTCTGAGGGGGATATCGGCGTGTCGAGGTTGCAGTGCAAAAACCATGGGTTTTGCGTTTTCCGGCGTTGCTTCGCGCGACCCTATTTTTTTCTCTTTTGTATTGTGGGGATCGGCGTAGGTCGAGGTGCAAAAACACATTTGTTTTTTTGCGATTCCGCGGTGCCGCGAAACCTTGTGGGGAATTGGTGCAAAAAACTCGAGGTTTATGCGACTTTTGTTGGTGTTGTTTGCGGTGCGGTGCTTGCGCAACCCTTCTGCGGGAATCGGGGTGGGTCTCTGTCCCCGAGGTTGCAAAAACTCGAGGTTTTTTGCCATCGGGAGTGTCTCTCTCTCCTTGTCGGCCGCCCCTTTACTCCCGTGGTTTTCTTTTTTTTTTTTTTTTTTTTTTTTCGCGCGCCTGCTCCGGGCCACCGGCGGGTCGCGGGTTCGAGTCCTCCCTGGTCCGCGGGCGGGCGTCGCAAGATGCAACTTGCATTTTAAAGCAACTTGCGCAGAGCAACTTGCACAGAGCAACTTGTGCAGACCAACTTGCGCCGACCAGTTTGCGCAGAGCGCCTTGCCTAGAGCAACTTGCGCAGAGCAACTTGCGCAGAGCAACTTGCACCGACCAGTTTGTGCAGAGCGCCTTGCCTAGAGCAACTTGCGCAGAGCAACTTACGCAGAGCAACTTGCACAGAGCAACTTGCACAGAGCAGCTTGCACAGAGCAACTTGCAGGGAGCGCAATTTGCACAGAGCAACTTGCAGGGAGCCACTTGCAGGGACCAACTTGCCGGAGCAACTTGCGCGGAGCAACTTGCGCAGAGCAACTTGCACAGTGCAACTTGCGTAGAGCAACTTGCGCAGACCAACTTGCACCGACCAGTTTGCGCAGAGCACCTTGCCTGGTGCTGTCTCGCGCTTGCTTCACAAATGCTTCGTGTGCGGAAAAAGAACGCATCCTGCAGCGTTTGGCCGACCTCGCTTGCGATGTTATGCTTTCGGGCCAACCGTGGTCTAGTTTTACAGGGGAAGACAGTTGGGGGGCCTTGTCACAGTTCCACCTAGACCACTGAAGGCTTGGGCCCCGTGCGGCTCTTTGGGTCTGTACCAAGTATATGACATCTGCCAGATGGCTGTAGAGATGGGATGGGAACCTGCTCCTCCCTGTGGACGAGGTGGGTGGGGACCCTTTTCTAAACCTGCCAGGTTTTTGGTTGGACTTTCAAAGGCAGGAGGTAAATAGCGTGTTTTCCTCGGGGCCTTACAAGAGACAGGAATTTTTCAGGGTTTTCCCCCAGTCTGGCCGGGTTGTAGCCTCCCAATGGATCCGAAGGCCAGAGGGGCGCCCTTTTGCATTCAACTTGTCTCGAGGCTCGCGCACGGCCACGTCTGAGTTCGCATTGCCAATGGGTCAGAGGCGATACGATCCGAGAGCAACCCACGTGCCATTTCAGGCGTTTTTCGACCGCAACAAATTCAGAGGTTTTTGTCCTATCGCTTCTGGGTCGGTGAAAAGGTCGGTGTTGGACACTCTCCCATCGCTTTGCTGTTGCCGGTCTGCCCAAAACCTTTTGGGGCCAGCTCTGGGAGAATTGGGGGGGCTTGCGCATGGAAGGGCCCTCTTTCAAAAACTCGGGCACGGGCTTTTGGGCGCTCAAAGCGAAGGATGCGGACCGGACAGGATAGCCTTGGACAATCTGATGAACGGCGTTTGGATACATATAGCATAGCACACATTCATATGTATATGTATATCTTAGTTTTCTTTTTGGTGGAATCAACTATTATATGTATATATGAGATCATTATATGTTAGTTTTCGTTTTGGTGGAATCAACTATTAGATGTATATATGAGATCATTTGATATTGGGGTACACAGCTTGGGTCCATGAGGCTAAAATCCCTCTGACATATATGTCCATGGCTTACAGAATGTCTCCGGCACACTGACACGGTGTTTCTTAGAGGCGCCAAAAGGGGGCTTGTCGATTGTTGTTTTTGTTGTTTAGATTCCTGTTGATGTTCCTTTAAAGCCACCCGAAGAGTATCCTCCAAACGAGAAAAGGGGGCTTGTCGATTGTTGTTTTTGTTGTTTAGATTCCTGTTGATGTTCCTTTAAAGCCACCCGAAGAGTATCCTCCAAACGAGATCAATTTCTTTACCCTTTCAATCCGCGCAGTGATGGAGGCTGATCAATCGGATTTCCGTGTGGCGAATAAACCCCTTAACTGCCGCTGGCTGGCGGCAGTTGGGGCAAAAATCCTCAAGGGACTTCCGGTGAGCTTCCCAGGGTCCCGGTTTTACGCTTTGTGCATTCGCCTGCTTCCTGTATGCATTCAGATGTGTGCCTGCCTTGTGTGAGGCCCGTTTGATTGAGGGTTCTTCCGCCTCACGCAAAACCCGGGTAGATGGAAGGTGTACAGGACTGTGCCAGAAACGAACAGCTGCAGCCGCCTTTTTGTTTGTTTCCATGGTTTCGGGTAGACCACTTCAATGCCAGGATATTTGTTGGCACCTGCTCATAGTTGCTCATTTGCTCAGGAATTCGACAGCCTTGACGGCTGCCCTGTACAGTTGGCCCGCGACGGGCCTCCCGCTGTCAATTATCACAGCTCGATATGGCTAGATTCTTATCGGCTTGTTTGTCTCCGTGTTTCAGTTTCGGCCATGTTTGGCGACAACCTTCCCTTCAGCCTTCGATGTTTTGGACACATAGCCAGCATTGTCGCCTGGGTCAGAGAATGGTGCTAGAAAAGTGGTGTTGAACACTTGCCAAGGGTTGTTGTGATATCAGCCATGTCTAGCGGTTCATGGCTAGCACTGCAAATGCTGAAGGATGCTAACTTTTGTGGTGAATAGCATGGCACATGTATTTGTTGCTAGTCATGACCTCACAAACAAGGCGCCTCAAATAGTCATAGATAGCAGTGGACTCGTCTGGTTGGCGCAGGATTTACTTGACGTGTTTGACGTGTTTACTGCAAAACTGGAAATATCTAAAGGAGCTTGAGTGTGCCGCCCTAACTTTCCTTTCATACCCTCAACATATCCATTGTACCCTGTGCTTCTTTCACGGTTTATCACTTCTTCCTGGGACACCAAGTCCACAAAGGGCAAGAGACCCACACCAATCGCTCGTGTGACATTCTCTGGAACATACGCCAGCACCACAAGAGGAGGTCGCGCGTTGCCCTTGGAGCTGTGGGCTTGGCATGTGGCAGTTTTGGCTGCTGTTTTTTGACATGTCATGCGGATCAATAGGCCCTCTGACATCCTTTCGGGGTGGTATGTCCACCATTGGGAGGGTATTCCTCAGACATAGCCTTATGATGGGCAAACAGGCAAACTTCTACGATTGCCCAAATAATTACAAATACAAATATAATACACTATGAGATACAAACCAAAAGTACACCCAGAGGACCACCCCAGAATTCTAAATACACTTTGCAGTACAGCTACATGCTGCCCTGCAACCGGACTTTGATGGAACCCCAACATGCACCGGAAGGACTTCCGACACAGACGCAAAAGGCACACAGACACAGATGTGACTTGTTGTCTTTTGCGTTTGCAACTTGACCAGACTTGACTGGGGTTCAACATGGACTGCATTTGGTTCAAAGTGTTTTGTTTGGTATTTGTTTCTGGGGGGGTGCCAGGGAGTTGTACTTTTTTTGTATTTGTTTCTGGGGGGGTGCCAAGGAGTTGTATTTATTTTGTATTTATTTTGTATTTTTTGTATTTTTTGTATTTATGTTGTATTTTTTTTGTATTTATTTTGTATTTATTTTGTATTTTTTCGAGGGAAAATGCACTTTTCGCTCCCCCGCACCCCTCCCCCTGGTACCCCCCCTTCCCCCCCCTCCCCCCACCCCTCCCCCACCCGTCCCCCCACCCTCCCCCCCCTTCCTTCCCCCCCCCCCCCTGACACACCCCCACCCCTTCCCCCCCCCGACCGGCCCAAGCCATGGCAGATTATCAAACTGGGTTTGTGTAGCAGCCTGTAGGCAGAACATGTGCGTGTTCAAGGGTGAGTTGGCTCTGCATGGGCTGATGTTGCTTTCATTGGCAGCCCACAGGCTTTTCTTTGGGCAGCCTGTTGCTGCATTCGGAGTTGTATTTCTCATTTGCATCGCCGGGTGTATTTTTTCTGCATTTTTAATTAAAACCAGTTTTATAGTGTTTGGCTGGGATTGCCCACCATAAACATAGCCGTTTCCGCAACAGACGGTAAGAGCCAGGGTTTTGGTTTGAGCGGGCCCTCAGGGGTTTTGCAATTCGTCGGGGATTTGTGGTGCGACGAGACATTGGTGACCTTTGTCCTTGAGTGCCGGACCAACTTCCGGAGGTCCGCAAATGACACGTGGCAAGTTGGTGCCGTCGGGCCCTTCCAATGCCTTCAGCTTTTCAGAATGTTATTTTGGGGCCATCTGCTGGAAATCTTTGGCGCACATCCATGTCTGGAGTTTTCCAGGCTAAGGCCAAACACCTGCTGATTTCAAGTTTTGGCCCTTGCCTCGCTGCCTGAGCCTTGCCAGCTTGCTCTCTCGATTTCATAACTTCAGTGCCCTTTGGGGCCCGGGAAGGGAGGCGTTTCTCCTCTCAACGCGAATCTATCCGTTTCTCCGTTCAAACGGACCGGAAATTCGCCCATGGTCGGTAAGTTTCACCAGGAGCCAAGTACTTCATGAGCCTTGGAGAGAAAGAGTGGCGCAGAGATCGGGGAGAATCAAAGCGACCTCGATTTCGGGTTCAACAGCAGTCCCCCCTGCCCCCCCCGTCCAATGGCTTGATCAGGTTTTGCTGTGCTGTCATCGAAGCTGAATAGTTTCAGGATGCAGACCCAGCAAACAAGTTGGATGTGAGTCATACAGTTTTGTAATGCCAGGAGAACCGATACGACCAGTGCGCTCGCCAGCTGAATGAACTGAAGGTGTGCCACCTACTTGGCCAGTAGGAAACTCGTATAATTAGCTTAGTGCCAGTAGACTCTACTTTTGAGACTTGGCAAGCCTTACCAAGCCTTGCCAAGCCTCGCAAGCCTTGCCAGCCCTCCAGAACTGAGGATTTTGAGGGAAATCACTTGAATCAGTGTCTTTCTGAGCCTTTTTAAGCCTTTCTATGCCTGTTTACGCCTTACTAAGCCTTACTAAGACTTAAAAAGGCTTAAAAAGGCCTAGAAAGACAGAGTGTGTCAAAAATGCGAACATTTGCAGTGAGCTCCCTTTTTGCAATGTGGATGCCTTTCTGCAGTTCTGAGCCATGCTCCTGCTCAACTGCTCGGCCAGCGGCTCTGCTCTTAGTGAGTTGATCATGTGGTTGATCCCCACGTTTGTGCCTGCTGCTTCGCTGCCTTGCTCCTTCTCTTTTGGTTGGCTAGCCATTGCAAATTTGAGGTGGGGCTTTGTGGAGACGATTCTACTGCCTTAGTCTTAGCAACCCTTGGCAAGGGTTAGAAAGAAAGCCTGGTTTTCTCAATCCCAAACTTTGCCCTTTGAGCCATCAAGTTCTCAGCAGAGCTTGCCAAGGCTTGCTAAGGCTTAGCAAGGCTTGCCAAGCCTTTCCAAGGCTTGCTAGCTTAGGCAGCTTTGAGCGCTTCTGGGGGGGGGGGGTAGTTCATGATAACAGGATGAAACTTATAGAAGTTATACACGTTCCTTGGTTTTTTGGTACAATGGAATCTAGGTCCCAGTGCCCTTTTACTTTTTTTGGGGGAGGATTCCCCTACTAAAATAGACTATAGAAAAAGGGTACCGTTATTCTAAATCCTCTGCTGGAGGACCTAGCCTAGGAGTTGTGCGAAGCTTCATGTTTGTTCATTGCTTGTTCCTGACTTGTGCTCAGCCGGACTCAGCTGGATTCTGGAGTTCTTCCATGGCTTGGTGCTTCTTGCTGAGTGCTCATTTCTGATGGGGGGATCATGGGAGATCTACACGGGTTTCAAGGCACGAGGTGTGTTCATGTGCATTTCCAGTTTTAGGGGTTTTAAAACTTCTGGGAGCTAATGCCCTTATGAACAAACAATCGTTATGTGAGGTTCTTCACAAATTCGCCCCGCACCCGCCATCTCGCTTGTGCAATCGAGTTTGATGAGCCTGTCTTTGGGTTGCCAATGTGATGCACTCTTGTAGTACTTTTCTTCACTTTGTTGGCATGTTCAGTTTTCGTGGCAGTCTGCAAAACACTAGGTTGCTTTCATGCCAATGATTTGTTTGTTGCGGTAACGATTTTTGGGATACGTTTTGCTTTCTTTTCTGCTATATGAGCCTAAGTATTCTGCATGGGGCCGTGAGGTTCTCTGACAAACATATGAGTCATTGATCACGAGGCTAACCTGTGCAATGTCCCCCAAGAACCGGACAAGAAGGCGGGGCCTTATGTTCCCAAT